CCACCGTGACGGCCGCAGGGGAGGGCGCCGACCTGGGCCTCAAAGCCGACGTGCCCGGCGCCAAGGTGGAAGGGGCCGGCTGGAAGCTGGAAAAGCCCTCCCTGAAAATGCCCAAAGCTGACATCAAGGCTCCCAAGGTGGACATCAGCATGCCCTCCGTGGACATCACCCTTCCCAAGGCCAGCGTTGACGTGCAGGCACCCGAGGCGGGCCTCAGCCTGGAAGGGGAAGCAAAAGCCCCAGAGAAGGAGGCCGGCAAGAGCAAGGACGGCAAGTTCAAGATGCCCAAGTTCGGCATGCCTTCCTTTGGCTGGTCCAGCAGCAGAGAGGCCAAGGGCAGCGTGGCCGCCGAGGTGGACGTGAGCCTCAAGGAGCCCCAGGTGACCCTGCCCTCGGGAGCGACCGAGGTGGACGTGAGCCTCAACGAGCCCCATGTGACACTGCCCTCTGGAACCACCAAAGTGGAGGTGACCCTACCTCGGGCTGAGGTGCAGGTGCCTACTTTTGAAGTTCCTGTAGAATCTTTGTCTTCTAAAGAGGACGAGATGGGGAAATCTGGAAGTTCTCTGTTTAGAATGCCTAAGGTTTCTCTTTCCAGAAGTTTCAAGCCTCATGCAGAAAGTAAGTCCAGAGTTGATGTTTCAGTGTCAGAATCTCTTAGTTGTTCTGTTACAGAGGATGCTCCTGCTGTTCTTTCAGGTAGTTTAATTTCTAAACCTTTGCCAGAAATAAAGGGAGACAATATATCTAAAACTTCTAAGTTCAGAATTCCTAGCTTGGGTTTCTCCAAAGTTGATTTGAGTTCATGTGTAATTGACCCTGAGTCCTCATTTCAAAAAGAGGACATTGCACTTACTAAATACAAGATTAATCTAAGAGAATCTGAATCAAAAATACCACCTCTTGCAGATGAAAATCTTTCAGATTTTGAAATTTTAAATGAAGATGGTTCTGTGGAGCAAGAAGGGCTTAAGCCAGAAAGTAAAACAAGAGCTGCTGAAGTATCTTTTAGTGACACAGATGTTACTGTTAAAATTCCTAAATTCCGAAAACCAAAATTTGTAATTCGGTCTAGGGGTAAAGCATCAGAAAGTGACTTTGGTTTGAAAGTGGAATCTGATATTTCCGAAGGAAGGATAACATCTGATATAACTGATCCTGATACTGGAAAACCAACTCAGATCTCTGATGCCAAATTAGGTGTCAAGGTGCACAAGCCTTCACTTCAAGTTGTTCTGGATGCACCAACACTGGATCCCAATATCTCACCAATGGAAGTTACCATGCCAAAATTAGAAGGAGAAATCCATGACGCAGATTTAGGCTGCAAGGCAGAACACGAAGTAATTTCTGGAGAGAAGGATACTGAGGAGAAAGAAAACAAATCTAAATCATTAAAATTCAAACTGCCTTCATTTCGTTGGTCACCAAAGAAAGAAGCTATTGTCCCGTCTCAGGCTGAGGAACATCTGGAAGAGCCCCCTTTGTCTACTTTATCTGGAGACACAGGCTCTGAATTAACTTTTCCTACTCCTGAGAATCAATACGTTCATGTAGAACTTGATACGTCTATAGAAAAAGATGGTGAAAAGGTTAGAAGTAAGAGGTCCCAATTTACCATGCCAAAGATCTCATTCCCTAAAATTAAGGGTCAGAAAGCCCAAGTCTCTCCGCCTGTACAGGGGACTGATGTTTGTGGTTCCAAACAAGAAAAAGAAGATATTTCAATACAGAAATCTGAGAAAGAGGTTAGTGGAGAAAGTTCAGGAATAGGCATAAAAATGCCAAAAGTTACGGTCCCAACTTTGGAATTTTCCAAACCGGAAATCAAAGCTCCTGAAATAGACATGGATATTAGCAGGCCTACAGGTGAGGTCATACTTCCAATGTGTGAAGAAGATGATCTAAAATTGAAATCAGCTGCTGCTGATGCCAGCCTTTCCACCTCAGATATTAAGATGACAGCTGAAGGTTCACTTGAGATGAAGAGTCCTGACACAAGTGTTGAGAGAACATCAAGTGAAATATCTGTGAGCGATGTAGAAATAAAAGCTGAAGGTCCTGAGGGGAAAACAAAAATGTCTAAATTCCAAATGCCAAAGTTAGGAATTACACTTTCTAAAGGGAAAGGGCCAGAAAAGGAGGTCAGCCAATCCAAATCAGAAGTCAAGGTTCCCCAGCTAAAAGCAACAGTAGAAATATCTGACATTGCTGTTGTTGAAGGACCAAACTTGGAGGTGGAATGTGGCACAGGAATAGAGACTTACAGCCCTCAAGTCCAAATGACCAAAATTGACAGTAAGGCATTAGAGGTTGATGTTCACCTCCCTTCAGCTGACATTTCTATTCGAAAACCAGACAGTGATATTCAGGATTCAGATTCAGCACTAAAAATCAAAGGGGAAATAAAGCCAGATGGAGAAGAGAAAGAAGGACATTTCAGAATGCCAAAATTCAAACTTCCATCCTTCAGTTGGTCACCAAAGAAGGAAGCAAGTGTTAAACTGGATTCCGGAGCAAACCTGGAAGACCAAAAGCTTGCTGTAATGTCAAGCAGAATAGACACAGAAGTGAGAGGAACTGCAGTGGATGATGAAGGTAGTGGGACAGCCCTTGATATGGAAATATCTATGGGAAAAGTTGAACAAAAAAGTCCAATTAAAAAGCCTCAATTTGTCATGCCTAAAATTTCACTCTCCAAGATCAAGGTTCCAAAATCTCAGTCTCATTTGTCAAAAGTTGAAGTTGATGCTACTCTTCTTAAAACAGAAAGAGAGGGTGATGATTCAATTCAGATACCTGATATAGAAAGAAGTCATTCTGAAAGGACCGAAGAAGGGGCACAAATAAACATAAAAGTGGCTGATGTTAAGTTCCACACTTCAGAATTTTCCAAAATAGAAACTGAAACTTCTCAAAGCAAAATGGAAATCAGCTCAGCAAAGATTGATGCTGCTCTGACTCCCTCAGAGGGGAGTTTTCAACAGGTTGACCTAAAGTCAAGCTCTACCGAGGAATGTAACGTTCAAAAAACAGGTATTAAGTTCCCCAAAGGAGAAGTTTCAGTTGAACTGAAGAGCCCTGATATAGTAACAGAAAGATCATCAGTTGTGGATGGAAGAAAAGTGAAATTGGAAGGTCCTGAAGGGAAGATGAAAATTCCCAAATTCCAGAAACCAAAGTTTGGAATCTCCCTAACAAAAGGGAAATGCCCAGAGGCAGAGGTCAGCTCTCCAAAACTAGAAGCTGAACAACCTCAGCTAAAAATAACAAATGAAATTGCTGACACTGCTGCGGGAGTTCCAGCATCAGAACTTTTATCTGATATGTCAGATCCTGGAGTAGTTGTTTGTGACATAAAAACACCCCAAGATCTGACTGGTGGCATTGAAGCTCCAAAAGTAGACATAAGCCCCCAGTCAGTGTCTAAACCAAGGACAGAGGGAGCTATTGAGAGTCTTGAGGACAAAGAAATCAAATTAAAAGAAGAACATGAAATAAAAGCTGAAGAAGTTCGGACTGAAGAACATCAGGGATGGTTTAAAATGCCAAAATTCAGAATACCTGCATTTGGCAGGACATCCTTAAAGGAAAAAAAGAGTGATGCTGATATTGAAAGAAGTATGGAAAAAGCTCAGGTGAGCATTCCCTCTACAAAAGTACAAACTGAAACAAGTATTCCCGAAAATACCTTCTCATTACCACATGCAGTTGCTGAAATCACTATTGGAAAAGAAAGGATTAAAAAATTTGAAGATTCTGTAAAGAGTTCTGATGTTAGCTTGTCGAAGATGGAAGGAGATATTTCATTGTCCACAGAAAGAACAGATAGTAGAGTGAATATTCCAAAAACTGAAACTTACGCAGACATAGTTAAGCGTGGTGCAGAAGGACAAAAAATGCATACTTCAGAATTCACAGTGTCTGCAGCAGAATTGCCTAAATCATACCTAAGGGCTTCAGAAATTGACAAAGACAACAGTTTGATAAGTGAGTTTCCTACAGGTACTCTGACTTATCAAGAGCATAAAGTCAAACCACAGGATATGGAAGTCCCAAACGTAGAAAGTTCCACTAAGTTAGAGACTTCAGGAGTAGGATGCAAACCATCATCAACTGAAGTTACTCTGGATGCAACACAGGCGAAAATAGATGTCAGTCTTCCAAAGGAAGAGTTAGATATTCAAAATAAAGAGGCAACAATTAAAAAAGGAAAGATAAAGGGTGAGGTGAAAATTATAGGAAAAGACAGGGAAGAAAGTCAGTTAAAAAGGACTACGTGTGAATGGTCTACAACAAAGGGATCAGAAGATGGTACTTATGTTACTGCTAAGCTGGAAGATCTAAAGGTAGAAGTTCCAGGAGTGAAGACGAATGTTAAAATTACTAGAGTAGATCCTGAAATGAAATTTCAAGTGAAAAGTGTTGAAAAGGATGTGTCTGCAGGAGTGGAAGTGCAAGTAGAAGATGGAGCAGAAACAAGTAAAACTAAAGCATACAAGTTTAAGATTCCGAAGTTTGGAATGTTTCATTCAGAAATCAAGGGTTTTGAAGATGATATCAATGGGACAAAGTCAGAAGCTGAGTCAGTATATAAAAGTGGTATAGGCACAGCAGAAATGCAGTTACAAAAACCAGAAGGATCTATTGGCCTGAAAAGTCCAGCTCTAGATTATATGGAAGCATCTACCAGAATAATAGGGGAAACAGTGGACCAGTCACAACATGGCCCAGAAGTAATCGTAAGAATTCCCAAACTAAAAATACCAAGATTCACTTTTAAAACTCTCCCAATTGAAGCTGATGTTTTAGCATCAAAAGTGGTAACAGATCCAAAGGGATCTAGTGCTGATATTGAGGTAGTGCAACTGGGAGCAAGCTCTGCTATCTCTGATGAAACACCAGGGGCTCTAGAAGCGAGTATTCAAAAAGCAAAAAGCAAAATTCTGACACTGACTGAACCTGACATTAAAACAGCACAAATGACAACTACCATAGAGTCCTCCCTTTCAA